AATCCCAGGACTAGATGGGTATATAAGACAAGAGCAAGGTCCCAGTATCAAGGATTCATTCTCCAGTCACATTGAGAATAGGAGGACATTAAAGTCTCAGGATTCTCCAGCCACGCTGAGGAGAGGCAGCAGTCTGAGGTTTGGTGGGGCCAGGATGGCCTTTCAGTGTGAGGTAGAGAGCAAGCTGGTACCCAGCTGCTTTGCTTTTCTGAGCTTCTGATTGAAGTTTGAACCCCAATACCAGTCTCTGGGTCCTTTTATTTATCATATTACAATTTCCATCTCACAGATGGGAGGAGGCCAGGCCACTCGAAGACCGGTAGAGATGGCTCCTTTGGGGCTTTTTAGAGGCCCTGTAAGCCAGGCCAGCTCCTTAGGGGTGTGTATGTATGTGTGTGTGTGTGTGGGGGGGGGCCCGTACAGGGTAGCGGAGACTTCACTGCTACCAAGAGGCCAACTGACATTTTAATCTTTTTGGTAGAAGAGACATCATATTTAACGTGTTAGGTGTCAAACTCAGGACAAATGGCTAACTGAGGTGTGCATTCAAAATACCAAAGTGGATTCTGGCCACCAGTCTCCCTCAGTCTCTACCTATTACAGAGTCACCCTAGCTGGCATACTCCACCCTCTACCCCAAACTCTCCAGCCTTCCCCCAGTTTCTCTGATTCCTATAGAACCCTGCCATTTTGGCTGTTCTGATCTCTTGGTCTCCTGGCTTACTCCTGGCTTCTCTCTTAGCATCTCTCCCTCACTCCCTCCTTCAGTCTGGACCCTTCCAGATGCCTCAGGATGTTCCCTCCCTCATCTTTACAATAAACCTTAACCATACCTAGTGAAGGGCTCTAGTGGGCCTGAGCATGGCAAGCATGGCTCTGGCAGGCCTTGCCCGCCCCCCACCAACCATAGATGACATTCCTGTAGCTAGCCACCTAGGACTAGTCCCTTATTTGTCCACTTCCTCCCCTTATGGCTGGCTGATCACCAAAGTCCATCAGTCAAAAGCCCCCTTTTGGCTGCCCTAATTAACATGCCCAGTCAAAACACACTGACTCATCCTAACACAGAGGTTTCCCCTTTATAAACTTCCTTAAAAGATTTGTTGATTTCTAGCATTTTTTTTGGTTTGTCTTTTCCTCCATTTCTTTAATTTTTTTTTGTTTGTCCTTTCTTCCATTTCTTTAAGGGATTTTCTCATTTCCTCTTTAAGGGCCTCTAATATCTTCATAAAGTTGTTTTTAAGGTCATTTCTCTTCTGCTTCATCTTCATTGGGATGTTTAGATCTTGCTGATGTAGAACCCCTAGACTCTGGTCGTACTATATTACTCTTTCTGTTGTTGAATGTGTTCTTATACTGTGGTCTTCCTATCTCTTCTTCCAGTGGATGCAGGTGGGGCCTCTCCCAGTGGGTGTGGTGCCAAGGCTCCAATGGTAGCAGATGCTGGATGGTTTGGTCTGCCCCCAGGTCTCTGGAGATTCAGTGGGGGTCCTTTTATAAACTTCTATTTGCCTATGGACTACACATTTCCCAGCTTGCATACTTCCTGCCACCACAACATACCTTCTTAAAACTGGCAAGGCTTTCCCTGCCTTCTGTTCTCTCTCCACAGCCTGGCAGTTTTGATTCTCCAACAAACCTTGCTTTTTGTGTCCACCCCCCCCCCAGTTGTCTAGTTTGGTGCGTTCACTGAACTCTTGTGTACATACAGATGCTAACCCTTAGGACAGCATCTTCAGGTATTCGGTTTCTCCTATCTATCACCTCCCTGGGACAGGCTCACTTTTCTCACAGCACTTGGGTGAAAGTGACCTAAGACGGGTAGGAAGAGATACCTTCTGAGAGCCCATTACAGCCTCCTCTCAGTACTAGCTGTGCAGGTATTGCCTTCCACCAATTATGGGGCTCCACTAATGTGAGGAGACTAGGATGGCCCAGAGTCTTAGTCTTCTAATTCCCATCTAAGTTGCTTGCCTGTTAGTCATAGGAAAGTAGTCCACAGCTATTGGTTTGAAAACATAGCAGACTCCATGGGCAAAATAGCAAGCAACACTCCTTGCCAAGTGGTATGGCAGAGAGGACACCGAAGTCCTAAAACAGGTTCAGTCTGAACAATAAAAAACAAAACCATGGGGAGGGTCCATCCCATGGTGCCCACATACATTGTTCCAGTCACCTGGAGAGTGAGGTCAGGGGCCCCATGGGGAGTTATAGTTATCATGGGCACATTTATACCTGGATGGGGGGCTGTTCCCAGTCCCTAGCCCCGGTGGTGGCAGCAACAGAGAAGGTGGTGGGGTAGACAGCTTTGGGGTTGGCTCTTGAATGACTTCTATGTTCCTTCAATTCCCCTTGTTCCAGGCACATCCTGTGTATACTTGCACAGTTGTAATCCTGCATCTCTAGTTTCTGATCTGCACGGCAGAGCAAACCTTCTGCAAGGCCTAGCTTGATGCATGGAGTTAAATCTCTGTAAGGGTGTGGGGCTGGCGGTGCTTTGTCCAGTCCTGCTGTGGATAGGATGGGGTGCCTAACTCTGGCCACTCAGCCTATAGAGTGGCCAAGATCTAGGGATTATCTTCTATGGTTGCTTATTCTTAATGCCAGGGACAACTGAACAAGCTGGCTATGTTAAGGTGGGCACCGTGCTCCCACCACAAGTTGCCCTGAAAAGCCAAGAAGCGTTCACTAACCAAGGCACAACTAGGAAGGAGAATGCCTCTTGAGACAGGTGGGTGAGGACCTGCAAGTTTGAGGGATATTGTGCTAACATCCTCAGGCAGGGAGGGACCTAAGAGTAACGGAAGAGGGAGCCAAGTGACCAGTGATTTTGCAGACCTTTTCTTATTTCTAAACATCTTTGGCACTTTGCTACTCTTTGTACCAGAAATTCAAAGTCTTTAAGAAGACAAAAGTGCCTACTCTGGACTCAAAACCAGAAGGGCTGGGCTGAGAAATTAAAGCATTGGGAGGGAAGTGACAGACTGCAGTACCTAAGGCTTATAGGCACCAGCCCTTGGGCTCCCAAAGCTACCATGTCCCCGGAGCACTAAACTGGGCTTAAGAGCTTGGACCTTGCCTGAAGACTGCTAGTGAGGGGTTTAGTTACCTCAGTCTCCTTTTCTGAATAACAGGAGTGATGAGGCTGGCTGGAGAAGAATGGGCATGTGAACCACAGAAACAAAGCAAAGAAGAAACAATCTCTCTGTAACCCCCAACAGTAGATGGGCTTGTGTGGAGCCAGAACTCACCTCTGCCTCATGTCCAAGACTCCCATAGAGGCCACCAATCCCTCCCAGGCTGGGTCTGGATAGCCTTGGTCAGGGAAGCTTGACTAATGAGACCTGGTCAAGTTGATGAGAGCCATCTTGGGACCTGGAACTGAGTGACGTGTTTTTTGCAGCTGAGCTTAGTTGTCTAAGAGTGTCTCTCCTCAACACTGCATCTTTGAGCAACAGGCAGGGACAGCCTTTGTGATTCCCATCTTGGAGATATAGACCAAGGATGAGAGAGAGACACACACACACACATACATGGAGTCAAAGCACTGAACCTATCGATTGCTGTCTCCACTCAGCATAGCTTCTCGGGGTTGCAGAGTTCTTTTGCAATGGCTATGAAGTTAGATTTCTTCTACTTGAGATTTATCCTGGTGGCCCCATGCTGAACTTCACTAACTGTCATGCTTCTGGGACATATCCATTTTGTTTGGGGGGGATAGGGAGGGATGAACTGATGACCTTAATTGCCTTTCTTTGGTAAGAATTTGTCAAGGATTAATATGGTCTTCTCCATATTCAGTTATCCACAGGCTGCATTTTGGTACAGCAGGAGACACTGGGTTGTTTAGCACTGGAAGCTTTTGGAGACTTTGCACCCGGATATAGGCTGGGACAGCATGGACATTTCTGTAGGTACCAGAATCTGGAGGTTCAGCTTTCTAGTGGAGAGGCCACTCCTCCTCCCAGAAGCCAGAGGCAGAACCAAACTGACTGCCTGGGACATATTGCCAGGTTTTATGGTGAAACCCAAATCCAAATTTTCAGGAGCCATTTTAACCATGTTTAGACATCAGCAACTGATTCTGAAATCTTCCAGTCCTGACTGTGCAGGCCAAGCAATTGCGGCTGCTTCTGGGACCCTTGGTGAAGACACCAGAAGTGTGGAGAGGTTTCCAGTTGCCAAGACTATAAGGAAGCGAATGTATTCTCTTCATTCATGAGATACTGAGTGTCTCTGCAACTGGGTTGTCAGGACAATACACACACTAGTTCTTGCACAGGCCTTAGTCCTCAGTAAATATGAACCATTCAAAGCTACCGAAGGTCAATCAGCAAAGGATAAAATAAAAACTATACTGGAGAGCCTTGGTACAGTATACAGGAGCACATAGGTATAGATGCCAGAGGACAACCTCAAGTATGGGTCTTCACCTTCCATCAACATTTTTCATTAGTCAGGTTTCTAATTGCCATGGAATGCACTGATTTGGTGAGGTAGGCTGATTAGCAATAAGCCCCAAGGACCCTTTGATCCCCACTTCCCTAGCACTGAGGTTACAAGAGAAACTACACACCCAGCTTTCACAAATAAGCATCATTTTGGGAAACATTCAACTGCCATTTGAACCTTCCACCCCAGCTCCTAGATTTGTGAGTCTTTCATGATGGGTAGCTATGTGGATAGGCTATGGTAGTTTGCCAGGGTGCTACCAGCATGCTGCAAGGGGCAGCTGGACTAGCGAGGAACACCTGCTGTGTGCTTTAGGCTGCATTTGATTTGCTTCCAAATGCACATACCACAGTAGGATGCTCCCAGCAAGCTGAAACAGTGCTGGCTGATTGAAAGGATCAGGGAAGACACATGCAGGCTCAGCAGTGAGTACAGTTCTGAGGAGTGGGAAAGGAAGTGAACTGGCCTTATTCTGATCTCCAGCAGAACAGGAGTTCATGCTAGCTCACACTGCCATGGCCGAGGGAAACCCAGCACACTGTTCTCACCTTAGACCAGTCCCCAGTTTTCCACTCATAGCAGCCGGAGTAGTCCTCACACGCCTCCTCTGCTTTTGGCCTTGTGGACGCATCACATTTCCCTTGAGAGTTGGTGCATGTCACAGTTCGTTTCTGGGTCCCTTTGCCACAGTTGGAAGAGCACTGCAAGACAGAGTATGGATGTTTAGTACATTCCAGTTCGAGTCCATTAACACTACTGAAATCCCCACTGTGTATCAGGCCCAAGTGGGGAAGCAGACATGATGATTCTACTCAAAAGTGCCTTCCTTAAATGTTCATGGTCTTCAGTCTGTTATTCCCTCAGGGGACCCTAGCCAGGTGGCCAGTGATGGATACAGGAGACTGGACTCAGAAGAACTCATGGTACTTAGGTGGTCAAATAAGGGAAATAGAATTTAATGACCAGATGCCAGGTCTAAAAGATCAATTCAGGGAAAATGTTCAAAGGGCAAGCATAGAATGAGCTGGCAAGAGAAGCAGGAGCCAAGCGGGGGCCTGACAGCAAAGGAGTCTGAGCCAGCTGGCCTCTAGATACACAAGGCAAAGACCTCCATCAGAAAGGAGGCAACGGCTAGAAGCCATGGGTGTTTCTCATAAGCTTGGAATCTAGTATGGATATCAAGAAATGGAGAGGTCAACATTCCACACAGTAGCATACTTTACTTATTAGAAGACATGGTAAGAAACAACTTGGAGAAGGGATCTGGGCAGAGCCAGAGAGATCACTAATGATGATCAAACCCTCAAGAACCCGAGACTGCAGTGTCCTTATGCAACAAGGACCAACAAAAGCCAGGCAGTGGGGTTGCATACCGTTAATCTCAGCACCTGGGAGGCAGAGGTAGGCAGAAATCTGATTTTAAGGCTATCTTGGTCTACAGAGTGAGTTCCAGGACTATCAGGGCTACACAGAAAAACCCTGTCTTAAAAAAACAAAAATGCAAAAGCAACCCCCCCCAAAGAAAAAGGAGAGACAAGAGTCTAAGGAGTTGACAGGACATTGGGACACTGGGATATGTTGGGTCCTGTCCACTCCATTGTGCGAAGGCATACTGCACTGGCTGGTGAGAGCACTTAATACATTTCTCAAAGTAGAAGGCAGCTCAGAGAGGCCTTGTGACCTCCGGGAGATCCTTACTGACAAGAGTGACATGTTGGTGGATGAGCAGAGGGGGATATGGTCTGCAGCCCTTAGTCAGAAAGCAGAAGGAATACAGACTGCAGCTCAGGGAGCTCCACCCCCTTTTAATTTGTTATGTGTGACTCCAGGAGGAGCACCATTTTCCCACATAGAAGTGGAGGAGGCTAAAGGCTACATTTGGCGAGGAGATTTCAGGCTAGCTCAGTTTAGTATGTGTAGCAGCCCATTGCCGTGCCTGAGGGATAATGAGCTAAACTTTTTAAAAGTTCCATCACGTCCAGAAAAAACAAATACACAGAGGGCAAGCATTATTCTTGACATTTTTTAAAAAGTTTACTTATTTTGTATACAGTGTTCTGTCTGCATGTATGCCTGCAGGCCAGAAGAGGGCACCAGATCTCATTACAGATGGCTGTGAGCCACCATGTGGTTGCTGGGAATTGAACTCAGGACCTCTGGAAGAGCAGTTGGTGCTCTTAACCTCTGAGCCATCTCTCCAGCCCCTTGTCTTGACGTTTGTGTTACTGATGTTTATCCTAAAGTTGTACCTACCTACCTTCTTCCTATGAACTTTTTATTTACAATTTTATGTGTCTATGCCTAAGTGTATGTATGTGCCTCACACATGTGAATGGTGTCTTCAGAGTCCAGAAGAGGGCATTGTATCCCCTGGACCTAGAGTTATAGACAGTTGTGAGCCACCATGTGCATGCTGGAAACTGAACCTGGGTCCTCTCCAAGAGTTGCCCGTGATGTTAACCACTGAGCCACCTTTCCAGCCCTGTCTGAACTCTTCCTCCTGTGGTACATTGAGCTTAATCTTGACTGGCTTGCCTCAAAAGGCAGACACGTGCCTCAGAACAGGTGTCACCTGGAAGATCTGGGAAGTATATGTATATGTGTGTGTGGCACTGGTAAAGGGCTAGGTGAAAGTGACCTCAAGCGTAAGGGGCCACTCCATAGCAGACTCAGGACATTGGGCCTCTTGGCCCAGTAGGGCCATTGCAGTGAATCCAGGTCACTGTAGTGATGGTTTCAGAGTCAGCACAGGACACACCAAGACCAAGTCCTCAGCACTAAAGAGATTTACTTTCACCAGAGGGACAAAGACTGCCTCTGGATAAGATGGAGGCAGATGTGGCTCACAGGCAAATGGCAGTTTATAAAGGGGAGAGAGTAAACCCCATGTTAGAAGGAGCTGCTTTGTTTGGATTGCATGTTAGTTAGGGTAGCCAAAAGGGGGGCTTGGTAGTCAGCCTCAGGAGGAGGCAGTGGCTAAATAAGGGAATAGACCTTGGTGGCTAGCTTTTGGGATGTAATCTACAGTTTAGCAAGGAGGAAGGAAAAGGCTTGCTAGAGCCCTTCTGTTTCTATCCCGAGAGGCTGTCCCGTTTCTCCATGTGGCCATTTCCTGACTATTTCAGCAACTCTACCTTTACCATTGAACTTGTGGGCTGTGTCCTGGTACCTGTGTCCATAGCTCCTTAGCAACTACAGGGCCAAGTCACCATCTCTGCCTGTGGCCATTTCCCGTGTCGTCCTATTCTAGTTTGTGTTCCCTGCCACTCTCTGGAGTTTCAGTCACTGCTGTCCAGCTGTTTCCTTGGCCAAGGCCTGGCTCTGCCCTCTATGATTAGCAGCCCATTCCCTTGAGGCTCTCAGCCCTGAGGAAGGGCAGGTGCAGTAGATACTACATAGGACCCAGGAGGGTGATAATCTGTCTCTCTGTATTCCCCCTCAGGATGGGGCCAAGAGGCTGAGGAAAAGAGGGCTCCCAACAACCTCTAACTTCCTTCTGATATTTGATCCTCCTTCCATTAAAGTCATGAAAAAGCAGGGGAGGAGGTGGGTGGTGAGGGTGATGAATACTTGGGTGAATAAGTTTCTAAGTCTCTTACCCCATAAAAAAGAGCCAGTTTCTAGCAGAAGGGCCGTAGGCACATTGGCTCATAGCAGAGGGACAGAACACCAGCTTTGTGGATGATTGGGGAGGGCCAATTAGATTCCATGTTCTAGGCTGGTAGCATCAGATGAATCCATGTGGGCACTGGCTCAGGGTTAGAATTAACCATGTGCAGAGGGACAGGCATAGACAAATGTCTTTAAATCCTGTTTTGGTGGGTCATGCTTCCCACATGGTGGTCTTCCATGCTGTAATAGGACTTGGTTCTTTAGCTGACAATGGATTTTATTTCTCTCACAGGAAAGAGTCTGAGTGGAAATTTGGGAACTTGATCTGATGAAAGTACAAATCTTGTTTGATTGAGATCAAGGTGGTCCAAGTCCTGGGTATCACCTGTTCTGGGGGAAGGGAGGGAGGTTCACACGCCTCTGTCTCAAGTACTGAGGAAGAATCCCCATGAATAAGAAACTAGAAACCTAAGTGTATATGAAGAAAAAAAAATCCCAACCAATGTTGAGCACCCCCTCCCTTTTCATCCACTATCATAAAGGGCCCGATGAGGGCCTCAGTCCTTAAATGAGTGCATTTCAAGATTTGCCTGAAATCTTCAGTTTAGAGCAGCCAATGGCAGGCTTTCTGTTCATTAAAAATGTCTCAAATACTTTTTTATTCAAAATAATTATGTTTGGCAATCAAAGGGAACTTTAAAAATATTTTCCATACTGAAGAGTGTCTTGGATCTAGCCTCCTTAAGTTTCCTAGACTACTCCAGGTTTGGTGGAACCAAGAGAAGTCCATCCCTTTATTTAGCTATTTTTTGTTTGTTTTATATCCAAATAATCAACATAATTGTAATGTCAAGGCAAAGCCCTGCAAGATGACTTCACCAAAGATAAAATGGTATTTCCAGGACCGGCCTTCCTACTTAAAACTTAGGCCTTGACTTTGACCTCTTTCCAACAAGTTTTTTTTTTTGGTGTGAGATTTGTAATTCTGACTTGCATACCAAAGGCTGTCCCTCCCAGAGCCTGACTCCTGCAACCTGCAAGAGCTGCCCTGGCATTGCAGGGAAGACTTTGAAACCAGCTACTCAACTTGACCATACTACAATTCAGCCTTGTCCAAAGGAGAAGGAAAAGGTCAATGGGTATCTAATGTCTGTATGTATATCTATCATCTATGTATGTATGTATGTATGTATGTATGTATGTATGTATGTATGTATCTATCATCTATTGATCATCTGTCGTCTGTCCATCTATCATCTCCGGGTGGGAATTTGCATAAGAAATGGAATCAAATAGTCCTTTCCTAGTGGTATACATGTATCCATTCTCAAAACTACATTATGTCTGTTTTTAGTCATGTTGCTATTTTAGATGGGGCTCAAGGAAATAGCTGGAGTGCACTTGTGAGCTGATCATGTGGCAGAGAGGACTTGATACATGGGGATGAATTACGAATTACCCTGGAGCAGGCAGCACACAGTAGGCCCTGTGGTTAAAGCCTACAGGTCCTTGCATGGCTTCAGCCTCAGTGGCAAGCCCAGGCACTCACCTCTGACCACTCTGATGCCTCCCAGATAGACAGGCAGTCCTGGCCTTCACAGCTCTGTACTGATGTCGGCCGGGGTTCTGAGCAGTAGAGGGGCCGAGTAGTGACATGTGTGCCGTTCTGTAGCTGGTACATGCAAGTCACCTCCCGATGTTGGACCCCTTTCTCACAGGTTGCCGAGCAGGCGCTCCACTGACCAGCCACCCACCTGCATAGAGGGAAAAAGGACAGTAAGAAAATAACCTGGAGGTGGGTCAGTAGGGAAAGAGACAGATCTAGAGAGCTTTGTCATCAACTCTGGAAGTAATTCAAGGGTTTCAGAATAGAGGGTGCCCTGGGCGGTCATCTAGTTCAGTGGCCTCTTTGGGATAGTTAACTTTCTGCTCCAACACTCCCATGGCAGGCTAAGTAATATTCCAGCTGATCTCTCCCTCCCTGGAGTGGGATCATATACCCTATCTGTTATCGTAGCACATGCTTAGTTCCATGGAGTCTGAGCGGACATGGAACTGGTCATGTCCCAACAGCAGATTAAAAAAGATATTTATGTGTGTATGTATATGTGTGTGACTATACCTACATGTGTGTTTGGAAGCCAGAAGAAGGTATTATTGTATTCCATCTCTTTTTCCCTATGCCTCAGGGGCTAGGTTGGTAGCCAGAAAGCTCCATCAGTCTTCCTGTTGGCATCTCCTCCTGGGGCTGGGGCTACAGATGTTTGTAGAGACAATCATCTTATTATATGGGTGCTAGGAGGCAAATTCTCATCTTCCTAGTTGTGGACCAAGTATTCTGAACCACTAAGCCATCCCACCACACCCCCCCATTCAACAGAAGCTTTCAATGTAGTTATGAGGTTGGCTGATTCTGTTTCCTGCCCTCTGCCATGAGAACCCAGCACTGTTTTAAGGCAAAGTGATATTTGTTACCACAGCTTTAGCAGACTGATACAGCCTGCACAAAAGCCCCTCCAATTCCTGAACAAGTACACCAAGACCAGGTCCCCCCTGTCCTCCATGGCCCGAGAAGCCTCAAGACTAGCGACAGTAACTCTTGACGATGGCCTCTTGTGGGTCACTGGATAACAGTTCCAAGGATGGCACTTGAAAATGCTTTTCTAAAACTGTCTACTCATCCACTGTTTCAGCCATCCGTGAATGCGTGTCTTTCTGTTGGCTTCAGGGTATTGGGAAACAACTGAGAAGTTTGGAAATCACAATTCAGCAGGACACAAATGAGAATGCTCTTTGGGGGATACCAATGAACTGTCCTGGCTTGCTCCTTGGGTGATGAGCAATCTTAAGCCATCCTTCCTTGTATATTCCTAGTACCCAAGAGCTTAATACTTGTCAAAGCAACTCCAACTCTAGATGGTGAGCATGGATTGCATTCCATTCTTTATTAAGATAGCTTTGAATGCCATTTAATGAGATGCCACCAGGCCACCCCACTCTTTAGAAACATTGACAGAATTGAGTGGGCATTCGGTGGTGTCACTCATTTCTCTTTCTCTAGTTCCAGCTAGCAAATTTCTTCCTGTTGGATCCATCACTGATGAAAAGGGATAGAGATGTCTGCCTACTGTGTGGTGTGGAAGTGAGAAGAGAACATACATTGTTTACAGACTGTTGATCACACTATCTAGCCTATATCAGCCTATGTGCCCTCAGCTCCGTGTACACTGAGCACATTCAGCTCTGTATGCCCACAGCCCTGTGTACATTCAGCTCCATATACACTCAGCTCTGTGTGCAGTAAGCTCCTCGTACACTCAGCCCTGTATACATTCAGTCATGGTTGTGCTATGATTTCATTGGTAGGTGATGGGAAACAGATCAATGAATAAGTATTTGATTCAGTAGGTACTGACTGCTCCTACAGCACTAAAATAACATCTCATATTTCTTGCTGTTCTAGCCTTTGAGGTAAGAGGAATTTTCAAGCCCTCCTAGTTGTCATGTTCTGATCAGTCATTAATTCTCTCCAAGTAGATAAATAGAAGACATGGACTGAGTGGCAGGAGAGAAGGCAAGCATTTGTTTTGAAATAGAGATACTGTCTTCATAAATGATTTCTAGCTTGTGTTACTTCTTATTTAAACACTTTGAAAGATGACTATTTATGTTAATGTGTATGTGTGTGTGCCTCTGTGTATGTCTGTGCACCGGATGTGCAGGCTCCCTTGCAGGTAGGAAGAAAGTACCATATTCCTTGAAACTGGAGTTCCAGGCACTTGCGGGCTGCCATGTGGGTTCTGGAAACCTAACTCCTGTAGAAGAGCAGTGAGCACTCTCAACTACTGGGCCAATTCCCCAGTTTCTTATTTCTGTATTTTTAAGCATCCAGATCACGCCTCTGTCAGCTCTATTCACTGCTCTGCTTATTTTCTTTCTCCCAAGCTGACTCCCAAGTTGACTGTCCCAACTGCTGCAATTGACTTTGGACTTATAAATATCAGGTGTGAGGCTGATGCAGCTGAGCTGACCCAAGCTGGAGAAGCATCTGTGCATCTGTTTGGTCTTTTGTATTTCCCAAGTTTGCAAAGAACCTCTGCGCCCCACTCATGGCACTGTGACCCCCTTCAGGGTCTACCAGATGTACCTTCAGTCCTGATATCTATCTCTCAAGATGCCACTCTCCAGTTACTACCTACATTCTGAGGGTCTATAGTCATGTGCTCAAGTGAATGTGGTAAGCGACTCTGGTTCATAAGGATTGCACCAGGGGCTCACCCTTTTCAACAGAGTCCAAAATGAAAACAGAAGGAAGGAAATGTTAACCCAGCTTATAACATGGGCAGATTTTGAAGGCATGCTGAGTGAAATAAACTCATCACAATGACTACACTTACATGAGGTACTGGAGTACATGTGGTGGTTAACACTGTTAACTTGGTAGGATCAATGAAGAGACAAAACTTTGTGCATGTCTGTGAATTATTTAGATTTGGTTGAGGCGAGGTAATCTACCCTAAGCGTAAGCAGGGTCATCTAAGCTTGAGTCCACACTGATAGGTGGAGACAGCAAGGGGAGCCTCAGCATTCATTTCTTTGCCTCTTGGCTACAGAAATAATGTGACCAGTTGCCACATGCTTCTGCTGCCATGTTTTTTTCTGCCATGATGCACTGTATCCCCATGCTTAGAATGAAAATAAACCTTTCCTTAAGTTGCTTTTGCCATTTATTTTGTTGTAGCAATAAGAAAAGTAACTAACTCAGCAGTCAAACTCAAAGGGAGGAAGGATGGAATGGGCTCAGCCAGGGGCTAAGGGGGTGGGGAGTTTATACTTGATGGGACACTAGCAGAGCCCTCCTGCTGGCAGCACACCTTCCCACCTGAGACATGTGCTGAGCACTCTACAGGGCTCACTATGCCACACGTGCAGACCTTTCAAAACTTATTTTGGCTGCTTTTTAGGTAGACGTATGTCTGCTGCTCTTGAAAAATACCCCAGTGAGGCATGAGAAGAAAATGAGTTTCTACACCCTTCACCATCCTTGTTACTGGTTTTTGGCAGCTGAAAACAACCATTTCACTGGGAGAACTATGGCTGTAGAAGGCCTCCCTCGCTGCCTTAAGCACTTGGATACTACCATCCCACTCAACACTTCTGTGCAATCCAAGCTCCAAATCCTCAAATGTGGGAAAGGTGCTCTGCAGGTTTGGGATATTTGCATATATATCAGGAGATCTCCCAGGCATTAAAAATCCCAGTTGAAACGCAAAATCCATACACACACACACACTCAGCCTGAAGGTAATTGTATGCAGTGTTTCTAGTGTTTGACCATAACCTGTTACTGAGGTCAGGCATGGAATTTTCCACTTAGGGCACCATGTGGACACTGAAAGTTTTCACATTTGTGGCATTTTTGGATTTTGGAGTAGCCAACTTTAGCCTGTACTTGAAAGTTATACTATTCTAATTAGATATTCTGGGTAGATCAGTAGCTATAATACACACACACACACACACACACACACACACACACACACACACACACACACACACACACACACACGAGCTTGAGTGTGAGTACTTGTGGGGTAAGAATTGTGCCTCTGAGGAGATGAGGAGACAAGGTATGATAGGCAAGGCCAGGGAGGGCGGGAGGAGCATGCAAGAAGGGAGGCTACCTGCAGTATGGGGGTTGGGTGGACTGAGCCACAGTCTCTGTGTTTGATTATAGGACACATTGTGGGTGGGGTGAGACCTGGGAGGGAATGGTGACATTTGTGGTATTGTACAGCAATTTCCTCCCCATAGAACATTCCATCTTGGGAGAAGCTCCTAAGATTGTCAGTTCTAAATGAGGCTCATTAAGATTCAGGAAGTACAGTTTATCTCAGGATGTTCCTGAAACTGACCCATCACACAAAGCTCAGGCCTCCCCAAGATTATACAAGCAGTAAACACTGCTGGGAGACACCCTCCAATGAGCCATAAGAGATACCCTCCAGACTGTTGAGCCACCTGAAGCTGTACAGTGGGGCTCCTAGATCCTAACTTTTGGAGCAGTCACCCATACTGGGGTAGGCTTTGGTGATGCAGCTGTTTTTGGGTCATTTCTGCTCCTACAAGTAACCCCCTCACACATATTCCTGTAAGTAACACCAATAAGCTTATTAGCTACCAAGTTGGACTTTGGTGGTGCCTTAGTTAGGGTTTTTATTGCTATTAAAAGACACCATGACATCAACTCTTATAAAGAAAATCATTTAATTGGGGCCTATCTTACACTTCGGAGGTTTAGTCCATTATTGTCATAGCGGGAAGCATGGTGACAGGCAGGCAGACATGATCCTGGAGAGGTGGCTAAAAGTTCTACATCTCGATTTGAAAGTAGCAGGAAGAGTGATAAGGGGACTGACTGGCTTGAGCATCTGAAAACCTCAAAGCCCATCCCCAGTGACACACTTCCCCCAACAAGGCCTCACCTCCTAATGGTGCCACTCCCCATGAGTCTATGGGGGCCATTTCCATTCAAGCCTCCACAGGTGGTATCTGTATTTTGGTCTGTTGTCAATTCCCTATTTTGGGGTGAGTAGACCTTTGTTCAGAACTCCCCAGGAATAGTGTTACACAAGTGGACATGCCTCAGGGAGGGTAAAGGACAGAGGCTGGGCTGCACATTTTTGTAGACAGCTCCACAGACCTTCCCTGTTGGGTCTTACTCAACTCTAGGAGAGGCCTGACAGTGTGGCCC